TCAATTTTAGTAGGAATAAACAACTAAAAACAGAAACCTTGCTCAGAAAAGTACCTTTTTGGTAAGTGAGGGAAAAAAAGCATAAACTAGTGCATATTTAAGATACATATTCTCAGACACTGTCATAGTAAACAAATGTGTCTTGTAGGCCAAAAACAGTAACAGATACCAGACAAATGTGTTGTTGGAGGAGAAGACAAACTAAATTGTCCAAAATTGAACTTATGAACTCTGAGGCAGATTCCTGTTATTTGCTAGCTGCTCTACTACAAATTTTGAACACACATAGAGTAGACTAAAGTGTCAGGTATGCTCTGAATCTTCCCTTTAATGAAGGGGTCTGAGACAGAAGGCACAAATTAGGAGAATAATCACATGTTCTCCTTCTACGTATGAACGATCTAGCATGGGAAAACTGCAGACTTAGAGCTATGGAAAGAAGAGACCAAAGGGAAACATTAAAATGATATACATAATACAAAGCATAAAGTGAGGAGGAAATATGACTTTCCCCTTTTTATTTATTTTTTTTATGTATTTATTTAAATTCATGTTCACTTCAATTCATCAAGTCTCTGAAAAACAAGATTATTTCGTTGAGAAAAAAAAAAAAAACACAACTGTTTTGGAGTGATTTTAACTGAACAAAGTTGCACATTCCAATTTTTGAAATTCCAAAAATTTTTCTCTCTAACCTTTGCTCCTTTTTTTCATTTCTCTAAAGCCTAACAAATTGAAAAGCAAGAGTTAATGGATTCCAAAATCATGCCTTCTGAAGTGAGAACTGCGGAAAAAATAACATGAAACAAAACAAAATAAAATGCACGGAGGAAAAGAAGTATGTGTTTTAATTACTATGCTGGTAATAGCCCTAAGTAAATGCTCCAGAGAATCAATTTAGAAACAAAGAACTTCACTTCTTGCTCTTGCTGTTAAAATGTTATCTCACAATAAAATCACTTCCTCAGGATTTTCAGAGCAGATGCACTGCTAAAAAACATTTTCTTGTGCCTAAATGGAATTTCCTCTACTCCAATTTGTACCCATTGCTTTTCATGTTTTCACTAACCATCAATCAGAATATTCCACGTTCTTTACCCCCAAATGGGATATTTATTACTCAGTGATAAGATCACTCCTAAGCCTCCACTTCTCCAGGCTGCATACTCTCAGCTCTCTCAGTCTCTTTCCATTTGTCAAATTCATCAGTCCCTACTTCATTCTTCAGCCCTTCTCTGTACTCTAGCATATCCGTATGTTTCACGTGCTTTTGATCCCAGACTGAACTCAGCACTCCAGATATGACTCTCCAGGGCAGAACAGGGAAGAATTATCTCCCTTGACCAGCTGGTGATGCCCTTCATAATGCAGCCCAATATGCTCTTGTTCTTTTATTGGCCAACCCACTGATGGCTAATGACCAACAGTGACCTTCAGGACACAACTTTCTCTGCAAACCTGTATTTTACCTAGTTGGTCCTCAGTCTGTGCTTTTATGCTGTTAATTTCTCTCCAGGTGTGGGGACATGAAATTTCTCTTCTGTTCAACTTCATGCATTTTGTCCTATTTCTGCAGTTTGTCAAGGTCCAGCTGAGTGGCAGTACCTATCTGATGCATGAAATTTGCTGAGGATGCACTTCCGTACTATCACCAAAATCATTAACAAGGACAATAAACAGTACTGGTCACAGTATTGAGCATTGCATAACTAATGACCTCCAGCTACACTCTGCACTACTGACCATAACCTACTAAGTCTGATGGGTCAGTCTGATGCCAGTTTCCTGACTGCAAAACACTTTGACAAACTCAAGATAAACATCTACTGCACTCCAGTCATCCACCAAACTAGCCAAATCACTGTGGAAGGCAAACAGATTGGTCAAGCGTTATTTCTTTTTTGTAAATCTATGTCAACTACTCCCAGTCAATTTCTTGTCCTCCATATGTTTGGAAATGGTTTCCAATATTATTTGTTCTAACACCTTTCCAAGAATCAAGGTGAGGCTGATTGGCCTGTAGCTTCTCAGATCTTTCTTCCTGCAGAAAGGAGTGATAGTTTCTTTCTGCCAGACTTCAGGATGTTCCCCTGGCTGTCATAAACTTTCCAAGATTATTGTGATCTTGACATCAGCCAGATCCCTCAGCACTTCATGGCGTATCCCATCAGGTTATATGGATTTGTATTTGTGCAATTTAAGTGCTCCCTCATCTGATCCTCCTTCAACAAAAGTGATTATTCATAGCTCCAGACTTTCCCACTCATCTCAAGGGTCTGGGACTTCTGAGTACAAGTCTTACCAGCAAAGAGCAAGATAAAAGAGACATTGAGTAACTTGATCTTTTCTGTATTCATCTTTCATCAAGTGATCTGCTCTATTCAGCTGCAAGAACAGCACATGAGACAACACCAGTTCATACTAATGCAGTAAAAGTACAAAGGGTATGAAAGAAAGCGAAGGCTGAAACAGAGGATGCAAAGACATACTGAAGCAGGTCATCTGTGGAACAAAACAGTGTATGATCATGCAGTTAAGCACTATTAAAATACAGAGGAATAAGATTAAGATTATGATCTCCATTATTTGTCTCAATTTTCTCATTTTTAATTATTGTAATTTTTTGCAAGAGAGATGGAATTAGAAGCACAATAAAAGTTTCCTAATGTTCATTCGCTAAGATATTTCTGAGTCCTTTTGAGAGCTTTTAGAATGAATTGTAAAAACGAAAACAAACAACAAAAAAAAAAACAACAAAAAACAAACAACACTATTTTCTAATTGCTGACAAACTTATGATATCACTAAAAACAAATATACATATTTTAATATTCTGCTCCATCTCAGGAAACCAAAACAGCAATCCATTAACTTTCAGATGCATCATCAGTAGATATTACAATTGAAATAAAATGTTGGATTTTTAGCCAGTAATATCAAGTGGATCTGTGTTTTAAGGTTAATATTCACTCTGGGCTTACCTTAAGATAACTCAATTAAAAAGTTTAACATGTAATAAAATGCATTTTGATCTTCATACTCAGCCCAGTAAGTTCCCAGAGACAAGAACAAGCTTCGCATCTAAGTAATGTTGGAGGCTACAAGAAAGTGGACAGTGGAGTTGAGGAGGTCTTGTGATAATGTTGGTTGATGCTTGACTAAAAATGAGCCAGCAGTGTGCCCAGCTAGCCTAGAAGGCCAATGGTATCCTGGCTTGTAACAGAAATACCATTCAAAGAGGAGTAAGGGTAGTGGTCATCCCTCTGTATTCACCACTGGTAAGCACTGGCTGCAACCAGTGTTCAGTTTTGAGCTCCTCACTACAAGAGAGACATTGAGGTCCTGGAGCACGTCCAGAAAAAGGCAACAGAGCTGAAGAGAGGTCTGAAGAACAGGTCTTATTAGGAGCAGCTGGAATTGCTTTCTCTGGAGAAGAGGAGGCTTGGGGAAAACCTTATTGCTCCCTACAATCACCTGAAGCTGTAACAGGGGAAGTTCAAGTTGCATATCAGAAAAAGGCTCTTCACCAAGAGGTGGTCAGACACTGTGGAAGAGTCTTCCCAGGGAGCCAAACTTGAAGAAGCATCTGGACAACTCTGGCGGTCATATGGTCTGATTTTTGGGTGGCTCTGCCTGGAGCCAGGAGCTGGACTCAATGATCCTTGTAAGTGCCTTTCAACTTGGAACACACTATGATTCCAAAATAACCATGCAACACATATGGCAAACCATAACATCAGCCATTCTCTCTGCAAGTTGTCTATACAGATTGTTTTATTCTGTCAAATAAAACACAACAGCAACTTGCAGTAAAAGGAGCAGACTACCTGGCCCTTTAAGACAGCTTCATCAGAACAGGCACTAGACACAAACATAATATACTGTAATTACATTTACTGTAAGGTATGTCTAGCTAGTGAATCTGCTTAAGTTAATCATAAAATCCAACCCAAACTGTTAGTTGACAGGTAGAAATCTGTTCCTCTTGGATGCATGAAGTATAGACTGATCTTCCATTTTATCTATAGGATTATTCAACACATTTGAGAATATTCACTATAATTTGTTTCTACACAGATAAAATGGGAAACAGAATGGAATATTCAAAGTATAGTTAATGTAGAGGATACATCCAAATCAGACTTAGGGAAATGATATGCAAATAGATTACCCATAATTCAAATAGGTTCAGAAATCACTCCAGAAAAAAAGGCACTGGACAACCTTTTCTTGTGGCTCATGGCTTAAGAGCCCTTCTTACGGAGTTCTTCCCTAGTAATAATCAGACTTCCCTTCTTAGCTTTAACTACCCATTCAAAATTAATGCTGAAAGACAACATGAAGTCAAGAAGCAGAAGGAAGCAGTCTTACCAAGAAATAGAAATAATAATTGCTACGGGATGAACAGTGAGCATATCTGTTTTATCAAATTTGTTACTAGAACGGCTGAGGTCAGTCTTAAAGTGAAAAAGTCAAAACCTTACTTAAATCATCACAAGGAGTCAGACTGATCCCACAAGCAGGAAAAAATCTGGTCTCCATCACATCCCTCTCTAAGTGGCATTAGAATTAAGTAAGTCCACACAAAAATTACTCTAAAAATTCTGACAAAACTAGTGCACAAACACACTGCTATAAGAACAAATATAAACAACTGAATATGACCATAGACAGGAAAACTAAGAGAAAGTAATTATTGCCAGCATTTCGTTTTTCTGGTCAATAATGGAAAGAAGAAACTGGGAACATTGACCACACTTCACCTTTTATGCCCACTTAGAAACTGTGCAAAAACAAGAGGAGATATTTCATGAACAGTGATAGTCATTGAACATGAAACACAGAAACACGAGAAATGGAAAAATGTTTGAATAGGCAGTAATTTGTCCCCCCAAAAATTCTTTCTGTGGCAAGTTATCATGATACCTTCATTAATAATTATTTTTAAAGTCAACAAATGAGTATGAGAAGTGAGAAAACAGTGGGGGGAAAAAAATCACCTTTTTGAGCATCTTTCCACACAGTTTTTCGATTATTCTCATAATTTTTGTTCAACCAAGTGAGGATGATTCGTTCGTATGGAGAATATATATTACTGGATAGAAGTTCTGTGTTTATTCTTGGCACATTCTGCATGTTTTCCAAATTGATCATATCAGCAGTATTATGTAAAGAAACACGTGGTAGAACAAACACCTGGAATTAGAAAAAGCGTTTTAAACACAAACTGTAAAGAGAACAATTTCAAGTTGAATGATTAAAGAGTAGCATTTCAAACTCAGAAAGTTTTCTAGTTCAGTAAATATGTTAGAGATAGCACATGAGCATGCATGCATGACAAAGAAGAGACTTGCTGAGGTTATATGGAATTCTTTTACTTCCTTAAACAAAAAGCAAATTGAAGTTTTCAAATACTCTTTTGCCAACTTTTTACAGGTTTTGATGAACCAGTTGATGTCAGTGAGCCATGCCATATTCTGAGAATAACTGTGTATAGTCTAAGAAAAAAAAGTATTAATTGCTGAGCTGTTAAACTGATCTCCAAAGCAATCTATAAGAAGTCTTGAAATGATACAGTTCATGGCACAGATGATCCTTTAAATCCAGATCATACAGACAGTTTTACTGAAAAAAATCTGTCGTATCTGCAGTAAAATTCTTCACATTCAGAAATCACTGATTATGTCTTGCATGAACCCATACTAAAAATATAAGAAATAATACATACTACATATACTATATAGTATACAAGAAAAATAAACAAGTTAAAATCAAAAATTCTATACCATACTTCTATTTTTTTTTTTCCAAATTGAAATAACAAGTCTGACCACCCTGTCTAGTGACTAAGAATATCAAGGACCATAGCCATAAATGGGAGCTACACTAATTCCATAAAGAGAAACCTGTTTCCAAATCAGAATGTAAATAGCTTGCACCCCTTTTTATAACTGTTTCTCTTCATGCTAGCTATTAGAAAAGGGATCCACTTCTGGAGGCAAAGTGATAAAACTTTTTAATCTTTCCATTTGCTGCAGATGGAGAGGAACTCTCATTAAATGCAGCACAGCTACAGCCACATAACTTTGGAGTCCCCATACATATACCTGGATTTATTTTTTTTTCCTGATGAGACGAAGGATTGTCATCATTGCTTACAACTTTTTGTGAAGAAAACCTTTTGTGACAAACTTATACATAAAACACAGTTGTCTATTAACATACGTGAGACCAAACTACATCATCCATCATTGTTTAATTACAATAAAAGAAAATTGAGTCACTTTTGAAGCATTTAAGTTCAGCATAATCTAGTACCATGCAAACACACCTGAACTAACTTATTTTTAACTTGTTTAGAAATACTCATTTCTCTCCGTGATACTTAAATGAGTTGAATGTGACTATCTTAAGAGAGAAAGAAATCTCAAAATTTTACATCATTACTTTCAAATAACAATCAGAACAACAACAAAAAAGAAAGTAAAAAAAAATACTGTTTTCTGCCTTTCCTAAACATCCTTGCAGGTTAATTTATTGCAATGTTCCTCCATCAATATCAACTGGCATTCTATCAAAAGGATCAAAACAGGAAAGAATAATGGCAACTGCATTTAAGAGAAAGTACAAAACATTGTTTACCCATAAAACATTTTTTTACTGTCTTTTACCAAGAAAGTTCAAATAATTCATAATCCAAGGTGCCAACGTCCACATTCCTTTTTAGATACTGTTGAAGGACCAGAGCACTAGTATGTAGTACACTATATAAAAATTTTCAGATACAAGCTTAGGAAGCGTTACTACTTTTAACAATGAAAAGCGTCATAATTAATACATGTTCAGAAAATCTAAAGACAGATTATCTTTCTTGAAAAACTGACTTGACCCAAGGTTAAAGTACTGCTTCTACTGATGGTCTGTATCCTTCCGTTACGTTTCAAATGTTTAGAATTCCAGCAGCATTTCAGCCCATGCTCATAAAGAAAGCTACAAGTGTACCTCTATGACTTATGAAGTTTCCCTTTGTTGTGCACAGGCTATACCTTTCCCCTCCCCCCAGGATAAACTTGATTTTCCATTTCTGCAAACTCAAGTTTATGTAGACGTTGATTCCTCTGTAAATTCTGCAGCAATAGATTTCATAATAGGAAAGTGGGCCATTGTGCATTGGGCATGGACATGAAAGCAGTATGAGATGACATTCTGATTGATAAGGAACACTACACTTATTTCCAACATCAAATTGGATAACACAACATCTCTCATGAATAGATAAATTATTTCAGCATTTTCTTAAAATTGCAGCATGCTATTTGAGAAGGAGAGGATTCTGTTTCATTTTATTTCACTTGATAGCAATCACAAAAATGCTTGTCTCTAGTTTCATTTTACTGAAACTCCTTTTAAGACATGAAACATTCTCTTGAATTCAGAGCATTTAAAAACTAGTCCCAATAAATATTTTTATATAAAACAATCTCGCTATCTTGACAGTTCATACCCTGTTTTTCTTTACTGTTCTGATGCTTTATTTCCAACATAAGTAAAAAAATAAATCCTGTCTGGCAGCAGCCATTGCCACCCTTGTCACAAAATGGGATTGAATAAGATGATACGAAAGAGAAATTAGGACATTGAATGCCAAGTGACTAGACCCAGTGTAAAGCTGTGTAATATGAGTTCTGTTTATTTGCTATTACATTGAATTGAATACCACCTTAGCCAAACTGCACAAAACTAAAGCAAATCAAGTAAAGCAGATAAGAGTAATTCCCAATACATAAGGAGGAGGCAAAAAGAAATGTGATAAGGCTGTAAAAAATGTGCTATTACATGATAGAAAGATGAAGGAACAAGAAATGAGAAACTGAAGCATGTTTCTCATTCATGAGACAGGGAACTAGTGACAAATGACAATAAACACATCTTTACAAAAGGCTTAAAAGGCTCATCCAAACATGAACCACTTTCATAACCCTAGCAACCAGGGACTTTTTCCCATTCTTCCAGGAAATTCTTCTTCTTCAACAATGCTCACAGAGATTAAAGATCTATTTGAAGCCCCCTTACTCCATAAGCCAACTTCACATAGTGCACCAGTTCTAGCATAAGGAAAGGGACGGAAAAATATAGCAAGGACAGATGGTAGGGAAAATCAAAGAAAGACGCACTTTCAGTAGTCACTCACAGCTAGATTAGTGTAAATCAATAGTGACAATTTCTTTTCAGTTATTAAAAAGACTAGAAAGTTTATAAAAACAGATTGTACTTGAGTAATGCACACATGAAAGAAAATAGTAGAAAAAAAAATTAAAATTTAAAAAATTATAGTGAAAGAGGTTGAAGCAGCAGCAGAAAAGAAGCTTTTGCTTCCGAACTATTGCCTCCAGAATACCAATACTTGATTATATCAAAGTGTTTAGAAGATTAAATGAGTCCACAGATTTAACCAAGCACCTTTTACACAACTTCAAGCCATCTTTTTATATGCTACTTTGTATTTCAATTTACATTTTAAGCCTTCCAAAGCAAAAATTTTCCATCAAAAGAGCATAACTAATAAAAACCAAACCATAGTCAGCACTAAAGTTCCTCCAAAGTCTTTATCCCTTTAATTTTTTTCCCAACCAAATATCTTGGTTAAACCACTATTCAATCCCACATAAGTAACTGCACTTCCACACATACCGAAACCAAAATCAAACCTAAAATCCACTTTTTCCCCTACGCCAAAAACTCTATAAAGACATTTGTATTGTCTAAAACAGCAACCTGACTGTTGGCTTCTATAAAGAACAGGTGGAGAATCAAACTATAAAATGCTTGAGTTCATATCCTATAATTTAAGATTTGAAGGAGTAAATTAACCATAAGCAATTTGGGCAGTTTTTAATTTTCCAGCCACTCTTTGGTAAGAAAATTAAGGAGAAAATATTTTGTTTAGAATTAATAAGTAACACTTCATGATATTAAAGAAAACACAAATTACGTGTGAATGTAGCATTTAAATATTCTTTCTTTTTCTATTTTATTAATTCAGATTAAAGAAAATTCCTTTGGATCTAACTTCTGTGAACACAAAAAGTAAATAAAATTAATGATATGATACAAAAATGATCAAAGTAAAATTGCTACTGTGAGAAGCAATAGAGAGTTTCATATTATAAGTGTTAATAATTCCACCAAAATTGAAGGTAACTTCTCTTTTATTTAGGCATCAGACAAAACAAAAGCCAGAGCTGCTTGAATAGCTGACTCTTTTTGATGGTACTTGCATAAATGTTGAAAGTATATTTGGCAGTATCCCCAGTTGAATTAGACCATTTTTCCATACAAATTTTTTAGAGTTCAATCTCATCAGTGAAGAAAAAAAGCAAACATAATTGTCTACTATTAACTTTGAGGATATTATTTTTGATTCTGTGCTAGTCTGTCACAGAGCTATGAATAAATTAGCAAAATCCAAAGATAGCAAACTTGTTCTGGTCTGTATGATTGCATTTTTCTACATGCATTTGCATGTAGAACTCCCATTTGAACTTAAGACCATTTGTCTTCATATGTATATATAACGTTTGTTGCCTGTTTTTATGTCAGCTATTTTTCTCATTGCTTTATTTTAGATCAGTTTGACATTTTTGCTTCATAAATTGCTTGCCAGTCTTTATTGTTTAAGTAAGTAATACTGAAAAAAGTGTTATTTTTCTCACATAATGAAAAAACAGTTGCATCTCTAAAGACTGTCTGCTCCAGGCATAGCCAACACAGCCCACCTCTTGCCCCATGCCATCATGGTGGCAGCTCTTCCCTGTTGAGTAGCCCAGCCTGGCCCCAGCATGCCAGTAACAATCAAACATAGGAGTGCAATTAACATCTCAGCTGAAACCAGGAAGGACACAGTGCAGTACCAAATCAAGTTATTGCAAATGATTTAATGCATTTTGATATGCTAGCTAAACACAATTCTGCAAACAGCAAAAATATGCAGCCTTGCTTTTCATTTTTATAAGTGAATTTGAGAACAGGTTTTAGTATAGTTTAGTCAGTTTTTTAATATAAACATATTTTATAGAATCTTTCAGGATATTTGCAATTCCATTTTCAGTCTGCATAAATACATCACCTGTGAACATTCAAATGGAATGTTTGGAGATGCAATCAGATATTCAACTCAAATATTTGATCAAGTCTCTTTACTAGACTTCAATAAGATCTCTTGCCAGAAAAAATACCCTTTACTTCACAGTCACACCTTACTCATGTCATCACTTTCGGGCAGTAAGTGCACATTTATGAACAACTGTTTTCAAGGATTAAGTATAAGAGTAAAACATCATCCAAAATCTCTGATGAGAGCTCACTAAAAATTTTCCATTAAACAAGTCTTCCATTAAACTATCTGATGCATTAGTTTCATGCACCCCAAGAAAAGCTTAAGTATCTCATAAGTTTTATGCTTTCGCTGCCCTATTTTTTTTTTCAATTAAAAAAAAAAAAGGTTTTGTTATATACTTATATATTAATTATATGCTATATTTTCCATGTAGCCCAAAGCAATTCCTCTTCTCTTCATAGCAGCCCAGGCAAGCCAAAAATTTGTACACCCAGGATCTAGTCCAAGCTCTTTGCTTAAATCTGAATCAGCTAGCATGGGTTGCCAGGAACATGTTCAGCTGGGTTTAGGATTTCTCTAGTGATGGAGACTCCACAGTTCCTCTTGGCAATCTGTTTCAGCGAGGAACCAGCATCAAAGTAAAAAAAGTTTATTAAGTTTAAATGAAATTAAATTTAAATGAAATTTCTTGCATTTTAGTATGTATTTCAGCCTTTTGCCGTGCCACTGTTTACCACTGAGGAGAATATTGACCTGTTTTCTTTACCTTCAGCTATTTACACGCATTGATAAGATCCCTCTGGAACCTTCAGTTCTCCTGTCTGAACAGCTACAGCTCAGTCAACTTCTCTTTGTATAGTAACTGAATCAATTCCCTTAACCACCTTTGGAAAACTTCAGAGTCACTCCATTGCACTCAGTTCTTTCTGGAGAGTCCACATAATATTTATATTTTTAATTTATTTTCCATCCTTTTGAACAGAAGTAAATACTTTCAGACATGCAAATATCACTGATCATCTATGAGTACATTGGGTTTACTTTGGAAAATATGACTCAAACATCTAAAGTATTTATCTGTCATCATCAAAACAAACTCAGTATTGGAGGTCCATATTGATCGTGTTCCTTAGTGGGAATAAATATTACAAACCTGCTTATCCATTTCAAAATTCCACTCTACTAAAAGGTGATACGTATCATGGTTGTGAATATGTCTAGCCAACAAAGTATTTCCAGTGGAAAGTGTTTCTAAACAGAGTAACCAAAAAGTATGAGTATGGCACAGTTTTCTTTTTGGAATTAAAGATCTATATAATCCTACAAGATACAGAGTATTCTAACATAGTGTTTCCTAATTAAAGCATATTATTACATTGCTAATTTCAGAACCAGGAAAATGAAAGTGTTCTCATTTAAAACTGTCTCAGATAGACTCTGCAGAAAAATAACATACTTGAGAAGTAATTAAAAATTTGTTTGGGGAAAAAGAAAAAAAAGAAAAAAAAACACAAAAAACAACATAACTTGAGTATCCTAAAGATCTCTTTTAAAGCTTTTTATTTATTTATTGCCATCAGGTCTTCAGAATTTAAGTAGTAAAAGTACCTACAATTTACCTTGTACACCTGCAATAACACGTCTGTCCAAGCTTGTTTGCTGATCATCTCAAATAGACTGTCCTCCAGAATTAACACTTGTTTGCTGCTAAACATAACTAAGTTTTTCTTATCTCCTTTTTTCCAGTTAGCTGTATGAGCCTTCAGATAGAGGAGAAATAATTATTTTCAATACTAATTTCAATAGGATAGGAAATTCACAAGAGAACAATAATCAAACTATGGTATAAATGAGTGATATGCTTGCTATAATGCAGTAGTGATCAGCACTAGAACCATTTCCAGTTCAATACCATCTCAAGAATAAGGTCATTGCAGAACTGACAGGAGTTGAAGACAGCAATGAGAACAGAGAATCAACACAATGGATATTTTTAATAAACTAGAAAAAATGGGTAGAAAGCAGTAAAAGTAATTCCACTTTGAAAAAAAAAATTACTATTAGAAACTAGTAACAGGTATGAGAAGGAATGGAAGAAAAAAAAAAAACTGGGAGAAGGGTATGAATATCAGCATCAACTTAAAGTTCTGTTCACTCATGCATGCACTGAGATTTATGCAATACAAAATAGTCACTACAGTAGGATTTCTCTTGGTCCACATAGATTTTTTGTTTTGAAAAACTAATACTTGCATGAGATCTTTTTTAAAAAAAGAAAAAAAGTAACAAAAAATACAAACCTACCTGCAGCACAGCTTGCATTTTAGTCCACTTCTTATAATCATCAGGTTCAAACAGGTATTCTGGCATAACATGGGGAAGACTTGCTCCTTGGCTTCTAAAATCGTTAAAGAAAAAAATAATGAAAATTTAGTAGGTAGGCAGGATAATACTTTTGAAGGGTAGTTAAGGTTTTCAACTTACTCAATCTATGTATACCTATTGTATCCGAGCACACTGGGGATGAATGATCCAGCTTTGTTAGTTCCTTAATAGACAGCCCTTATTTGTGACATTTATGCTCATTTCCAATGCCTACAATTACCTGATGCTAAAAGCAAGACGCTTTCAGTGCTTAGTGGGCATGGTAGTGGTGGGTTAGACTAGATGAACTTAACAATCTCTTCCCAACCTGAATGATTCTTTAATTCCTCACAAGAATTGCTCCTTCATAAAGAATTACAGTGCAAAGAATCAAAATATAATATACATTTCCATGTTAAAGCTAAAGGACCACTATTACATAACATTAGTAGAATTAAAACTTGATGATCTGTCTGTGAAACTGATATCAGAAGTCTTATGTGTATAAAAAACAGGTATTTCTAAACTCAGACAATTGTCACACTGACCTGTCATCTGTTCAAGTGACTAATAAGTGCAATTAAAAAATGAGTGCAGTAAAAAATGCAATTGCAATAAGTAGTACAAATACTAAAATAACCAGTTGAAGAAATAATATTTATAAATTCATATGTTAACGGAAAGAGGGAAAAATATTTTTTCTTGGGATAGGGATAGCACAAAAATTTCCTGATGTCCAGGTCAGAAAAAATATTCTACCATATCTAGATTTGTATTGCTCTTTGTGTTTTCAAAACAGCTAATGTGAAAATAATTGGATGAGCTTTTCTTGTTGTATAACCAGTCCCTCACATAAATGAAATAATCATACTTTTCTGGTACCACACAGACCCAAAATCAATTTCCTTTGCACATCAAAATCATATAGTACAGATAGTTTGACATTAGAAGCATGACAGCTTATTTCTCATCTCACTGAATTATATAATGCCAGTAAGAGTATGTCTTTGTACCAATAGTTTATATTTCATATGTCTTAAAATAGAAATATTTAACCAGGAATCCAAGATAGCATCCAGTTAGTAGCCTGCTTCTAAAACTCAAAATATCTGAAATTCCCATTTTCAATTAAATCACAAGCTCTGTTCCTTGAAATCTTTTCAACATTTCTGTCCTTTCTAAACACTAAAAGGAGGAAGCTACACAACTTCCATCTTTTCAGATGTTCTATCTTCCTTTCAAAGGTTATAATTGGTATATAGACAGAAATAGGTACGATCTATAATTTTCATCCTCAAAAAAGCTACTTACACAACAACGTTGAGACATCACTGCATGAAGCTGAACACAGGAGGGTCAGGTTGGCAATGAGAAACAGGTTCTCACTGAGAGGGTAGTCAGGGACTGCAACAGGCTCCCCAGGGCAGTGGTCACAGCCCTTGGCCTGCCAGAGTTCAAGATGTATTTGAATAACACTCTCAAACATAGGGTTTGATTTTTGGATGGTCCTGTGTGGAGCCAGGAGCTAAGGATTTGAGTTCGTTGCGCTTCAACATCTTTATCACCTACCTACACAGTGGGATTGTGTGCATTCTCAGCAAGTTTGCTGCTGACACCAAGCTGGGGTGTGCAGATGATACAACAGAAGGAAGGGATGCCATCCAGAAAGACCTGGACAGGCTTGAAGAGTGGGCCCATGTGAAACAACTGAAGTTCAAAAAGGCCAAGTGTAACATGTTGCACACTGGTCAGGGAAATCCCAGACATTACTACAGTCTAAGAGAAATCATGGAGAGTAGTCCATGTGGAGAAAGTCTTGAGTGTCCTCGTGAAGGAAAAGATTAACATGAGCCAGCAGCATATGCTTCTATGCAACCTGGAAAGCCAACTGTATCCTACGCTGTATCGTAAGATAAGTAGCCAGCAGAGCAAGAGAGGTGGTTGTTCCTCTCTACTCCGAACTCTTGAGGCATCATCTAACTTACTGCACCCAGGTGTGGGATCCCCACTACAAGAAAAATGTGGAGCTATTTGAGCAGGTCCAGATGAGGGTTACAAATTAATTTTATTTATATTGCAAAATGCCCATTTTTTTTCTTTAACTGCCACAATAAAGTACCAAATAAGCTTTTTGATATCAAGAAACATAAAACTGATTCTTTGAATGTTATTTGAAATAGTGAAAAACATCCACCTACTTCAGTAGCTGACAAACTTGAAAGATGAATTACACTTAATTTGAACTACGCTGACCAGAAAATAGTTGGAGGAAGAAAGTTGAAAACTGTTTTTCTGTTGTGTGCGTGTTCTCCCAGGCTTCCACAGGATGGAATGTTGCACTTTCCACAAATCACAATGAACAGGCAGGGATGGCAGATGACAGATTAATTGCTCTCTAGGCTGACTCTCGCTGTCCTACTATCTTTACATACAGTTGTACCAGCAGTACAAACATCTGACATGTTTGGAACAGGACTAAAAGCACTATTAAATAGCAACTCGCGAAGAAATGCAAGTATCCTAGGTAATGCTTAAATGCACTGGCAGGAAAAGAATATCCATAAAGCACAAACTTCGGAGAAATCTGTCAGGACTCAAATTAGAATAGGCAAAAACTAATAGGATATCATAATACTAAGTGTCGATTTAATCAACTAGCAGAAAGTGCAAACAAGCTCAGGAGTCCAGCTAGGTCTGGTTCTCTGTGGCAAACTACAGTTTTGCTAGGACTGCTATGGATTATGTCTTTGTTTCCAGTCATCACACAACATCATTCATCGTAGACTTTTCTGGTTGACCTCCTTGGAAAAATGTTTCCCCATGTGCTGCTCATTTTCAGTGTTATGAATAAATGTTTGCATTTCTCAATTAAATTTTTTTTAAATAAATAAGGTACAGAGATATTCTCTCTATCCCTCTATTTCTACAAGATACAATGACATCTGAAGTTAGATAGGAAAAAAAAATAATTAAAATTAAGTTAGTTTGAGATAGAGCTATAAAACCCCAAAGTTAAGAGTGAAGGACTCTGAAAGGGACATCAGCTGCCAATTCAAAGATCAGTATAGTCTTTCCTGACAGGAACTGAACAGAATGAGATGATTTGTGTAGCAAAATTTAGGACTGTTAATAAAGGTAACAGGATTCAGCAGAGGAAGCACATCTTGAAGTTGCTCTTAACAATTTTCCTAGGAATACTAACTTGACACCAAACCTAAGGTAGTGGCAAACAAAAAGCTTTTCTTAGGTCAGAATTAAAGAAGGTTCTTGTCCCTTTGTCCTCAGTAAAACAACTGTATACTAATTAAATAGATAAGAAAATCTCTTGAATTCACTTAGAGAACTGTTCGGCATTGTATTTCCTCAAACTCAATGCCTTAATATGTGAAAGGATGTAACACTCCTAAAGAAGAATCAGCAGGGTGGCATTAATAATATGATGGTAAAACATTCTTAGCAGACCATTGGCTAATGACTCCAGCCTTTGAGATACAATGGAAAAAATAGGTTGAGATGTATCCATCAATCCTTTTATTTAGTATCAGAATGTACACAGAGGAGGCAAAAACAACAGGAATATGTAAGCATTTGTTCTCATTACTGAAGAAAGTAAAAAGATATCATTCTGACATTGCTGGCATGATTCTTCTGAATCATCTGCCACTATGTTATCAGTGATGCACAGAGTAATGTTGTTCTGCCTCTTATTAAAAAGTTGCAAATAAGAATCCAATGTTACTGGACAACAGAGGAAATCCCCACTACTGTCACAGACAACCTTAAAGCTGGGCTTTTTTTTCTATGTCTATTGACTTGGTTCTCTACTAAAATGGTTATCAGTAATACTGCTATCAATGTAAAGATTCAGATAGCTTTTTCTTTTCTTTTTTTTTTTTAATTTTAAAATAGTTGAATTAAAGAAGCCATGCACAGCATTTTATTTTATTTTATTTTTTATAGGCTTCCATCAGGCTTTTTGATTTTTTTGCAGTAAGTAAGTTTATGGGATCTAATGAGTTGACTCAGCATCCCCAGGAAGATGGAACTATTGAAAGTACAATTCTATAACAGAACAGAAAAAAAATGTTTGAGATAATGGTAGATAAACATTGGTTTTCCATATCAATGAGGTTTTTTAAAGTTGCAATTTGCCACTCTTATGAGTTGTTCTGTTTACATGTATCCAGGAAAAAATACTCGCTGATGGCACTACATTCACTACTATTCTGTTTTTAGCATGAGAAACAGCATACACCAGCAGACACAAGTATCGCTACAGCTTCTGACCCTTCTGTTACATGAGAGACAATGTACAATGGTTTCATTATAAGTTTGTATACAACTTCATCACTGCCTGTTACATGAAGAAGCTTGTATTAAGGACAGTAAGTAAATAGATCTTAAATTGCAGGATAGCCCCTTGAACACCACTGAGAGTGCTAAAAAGATGCATAAATGCAGGATTTGAGGGCTTCAGATAATCATTAAGGTTTCATGACATTAGACTTACTCTGAAAGTAATAGTCATTCATTTCACACCCGAACAAGAAGAATGAAGAAGAGTTTGTCAATTTTTACTTGCACCATATTTCACAGCTGCTCCATTTTACATAATAAAATAAGACTGCCAGAGTTCCTAAACTTACAGTTTAGCTGGAATCATGTTTGAGCTAAATTAATAAATGTAGGAAATGACAGAAATTATATCACACATGTACTTACTTAAGGAAGGTAAGCAACGTAGAATGCTGCCAGTACAGCTGTATCATTCGTTCAACTGGATCAAGGGGCAGCGACTGGCTCAATGTAATGCCTGGTAACAACTGTCCGCTCAGGTGGAACAACATGTCATAAATAGTATCTCTGTCAAGATTTTGTTTAAAAACCTTTTCTTGGGAAGAAGTCATTTTGACTTTACAGACATCACTAAGAGAGAAAAAGTTTCTGATATTACTCTTTTAAATGAGCAAAACAATCTAGCATTATTTTATCATTGACAATCATAAATGTAATAAAGCATGATACAAAAACAGCTGTAAGAAGGCTGATAAGTATCGTAGTTTTTCCTTTACAAGAATTTTTAAAAGTATGTAAGAATTTTGAAATTCATGCAACATTTAATAACTTCACACGCAAAAGACTTTATCACTGCTTCATGCCAAACATAACTGATTTCTATCATGTTTATAAATGCCTACACGTGTCCCAGGAGAATGGTTTCTATGATATTGAGTACGAAAGCAGACAATCAACTCAACGATGCCACTAAGATCAATATATTTCCAGAGTGTCTGCAAAACTACTGATTATTACGTTTGCTTCCCCATCTCCTTCTCACGGCGCCGCCGCGCCCCCGCCCAGAGAACCCAAGGTAAAAGACATTGCTGAAAAGTTATATATGCCAACAAAGTAGAAACAATTGATAAATCTGTGCTCATTCTGAGAGGAAAATAAATTTCAGATAAAAGGTTTTAACTGGTTTTAGCTGCATATTTTGCATACACCTCACTGTGATATGAGAGCACCGTACTCAGAAACAGTGTAAGTACATTTGGAAATGTACTTAAAAACACATTTCCAAAACTAAAAAATAACTCCTAAATGACATGTTTATATAATATATAAACATACGTAGCATAGATGATACAATCTTAATATGGGACTGTGCATTCAACTCTGTCTATATTCCTCAGATTATATACGTTTGTTTATATATTATCAGGCAGACACAAGTTAGCTCTATGTAGACATGAATTACCGTCTTAGTGAATGGGGTATTGAAACAGGATTTGGTCCCTTAGACCAACCAAAGAGAGTGAACCAACTCTGAACAGCAGTTAAAGTTTTCTGAAAGATGAAGTCTTCTTTGTTCTCATTAGGGAAAAATGATAATTCAGATTCATTTTCTCTCCCATCACTTTGACTGTCAGCTTCAGTCTCTTCACTCATCTTCTCAGCACTTTCATCCCTTTCAAGAGTAATATCTGACTCCAAATGATAGAGGGGGAAAAAAAGAAAAGAAAAAAAGAAACAAAATGATTCCTTATTTTCCTATCTTGATCTGATAAAAAAAATAGCATTTTTTTTGAAAGACAAAAGTTCTTCGAAAACAAAAACAACTGTCAATGACTAATGATCAATTTATTTCAAGAATAGATCACATTAAGTGACATGTATATGTCTTGGGCACAGAAAAAGATATGTTTTTGCAATAGAATTTCACTTAAGTTACTATCCAATCAGAAAAAAAAAAAGTCAGACAAGGCTTTTGAAACAATAGTCAGAAGTCATAAAAACCTTACATGCAGTTCCAATAGCTACGGCTTTACCAACTAGTCATTGATAGCTCCTCACTCCAATCACAGAGCATGGCTCAGGAATTGAGTTGTGTTCAAACAGTTTATCAGGGATTGTGTAGGTACAGTTAAGCTTACTCCCTGACCAGTAAAGGAAGTCTTCGGACTTTTCTCCCTTGCTAGGTCTTCTCTCTCTTCCATCTTGATTTGGTTAAATCTTAAATTGCATATTATTACTGGGCTTTGGTACAAAAATATTGCATAAAAGGTAACAATACAATCTAGAACAAATAGCTCAGACAGAAATACATCTTTAGAGACAAAATCAACACTACCATAACAGTTTTGTTGTGTCACTAAATGATGCAAAAGTAATCTAGTTAATACCTTGCACATTTAAATAAATATTTGTTTAGGATTTATGGAAGGAAAAAGAAACAATACAATGCAATGGAAGCAAGAGCAGCGAGTCAGGTCCTTAATAAGATGATCAAGCAGACAGATGTTTGAACAGTTTGGCTGCCTGATGAGGTTATTCTCTTATCTCGTCACTGACCCCTTGCCAGAGATTATTGCCTTTTCATATCTGAATCTGTTTTCTTTTGAACACATCTTACATCATTCCATTACAAATGAATCATGTTGATACAGTTAATTTTTAATACATCTAACTAACTTGTCTTGGTTAGACACATTTGTGATCTGCAAAAGTGGTGGAATCCTACCAATAACGAAACAGCAGCAGTAACTTCAGCTGTTCTAACTTCCTATCCAGAAAACTAGTAAGTGAAAGAGACGTGAGCAGCCTCAGACATTAGTCTCTTGAAGCTTTACAAAAGACCTGATAACCTTAATTCATATGGAGGAGCAACTTAACCAAGTTCTAGTGATAATGTTTGGTTTTATACAGTACTTCATAAATACAGTGGAAGCACTGAAGTCCAGCTTGACTTCTCCATAGTTAGTTAGTTCATGACTACAGAAATGTGCCTTCCTTAGCAACTAATCCCTTAGTTCTGTTCTGTGACTTTTCTGATGGCTCCTCCATGGACATTTTATTGCAAGTGAGCCCACTGTTATTCCTTGAATGTTTGTTTTTAAATACTTTCCCTTCCACTGAATCTGTTAAAAATCAGGAGAGTGTTTTCTGCTGATAAAACCTAGACCAGGTTTGCTACGGTTTCACAGGAGAGAAAAGCCTCTCCAGTATTCACTGATCAAACATGCAGAAGCATTTTTTAGCATAGGATACAAATGTGAAATGTATTTATCTAAAGTAGTAAACAATAATAAGATGAAAAGTAGTTTCAAGAGGTCAAAGAGTTTAAAATGTGCAGCTGTACCATACCTGACCAGGAATCATATGCTTCAGCAGTTGGACCAGAGGAACTTGAGGATCTACTACAGGAAAGTGATTGCGGAGAATAAAATGGATGCAGAACAACTTCCCCACTACTGCGGTCTTCATCTATACAGCAAGATTACAAGCAGCAGTTGAGTATAACACTACTGTCAGCACTCTAACCGTTTATAAATATATATCTGCTTTTATACTTTTTCTTATTTTAAGCTCTAATTAAACCAAATAACCTCTCATTTGACTCATGATGAAAATTTCATTTTGGTCATTAGACTTGGAACAAAAACCATTATGTGCATATTTTTTTCCATTAACCGTATCATGTATAAGCTTTGTCTGCATACTTGCTATAAAAGCAATGATCAGATCAATGCTAGTTCAAGAATTCTGAATCATGAACCAAATATTCTTAAGGGATTTACATCCGCAGATAGAAAAAAAGCTAGGTAATGAGCATCATCTCCTAGGCGTTTCTGCATGACTCCAGCAACTTTCCAGAAACTTTGACTTTTAAATTTAGCTAGTAATGCAGATCTAATGAAAATCTCAAAGGAAAAAAAAAATCATGACATGAAACTCCAAGAGGATGTGCTGGGTGACTAACTGGCCTTAGTACACTGCAATATTTCAGAAACATTTATAGTCTATGTAATAAGCACAGTTAAAGTCTGACCCACAAATATATCTTTTGACAGTTTTGATTGGTGCTGTTTGGAATACTAGTCTAGACTCTGATTACAAAATTGAAATCCTAGTATAACTACTGCTGCCTGAGGAGACACGGCAGTGCAAAGCTTTAACATATACTGACAACTATAGCTGGTACAGATATTCTACAAATAACTAATTTTGATGCATTAAGGTACAGGAAGATTTAAATACTGGATTATTAGGAAGTATGAAATGTAGCAATTTAATAGTTTAAACATCCAAAAAACAATGCTTCTATTTAATGGTATATGCAGCTTGCTCTGAAAGTAATGCCTCCTACTTATTTCCATGGAAAAGACAACAGATACAAAGAGCACAATAACACTAATTGATAGAGAAGAGTGACAGCTGCGAAGAACTATTTTTCTAAATAGTCACCACCATCAGCTATTCCTTTACACCACTGGTGAACACGAGTCTGCAATCCACCCTCATAAAAAAATGCAGTCATCCAGAACTGCTGAAATGTAGTCATCCAGTGCCGAAATGTACCACCCACTGCCTCACTGTGTTCACATTCACTGTTTGGTCTCTTTAAGCATTCAGCAAAGGTTGGTGAATGTCTGTGGGTGCCATTTTTTCCATTTGGAAAGATTCAATGTCCCACATTCGCTTCATATGCACTACCGCGTCAGATGCCAGTGTGTCAGACTGCCCCTCGGCTGCCATCTGCCACATGGCAAGAAAGTGTAACAGAATGTTGGCAGGAAGGTTCAGCCCCCACTGCCATACCACCAACAGCTGCTTCTGATGTCATGGGCCAACATAATCAAACAGGAGGCATTACTTTCAAAGCAGCCCTTAAATAAGACATGCTTTACGACATAATTTTTTTGAACACACATCCAAGAACCTGAGTAATTTTTCAAGTTGTCTCATCTTAAATACCAATTTAAAAAAATCAAAATGTTCAAAACAAATGGCTTTCTCTTTAGAATAAATATGAATATATGTAAAACAAGATCTTGCTGATTCTGCTTTTCATTTTAAAAAATGACCACGTAAGGAAAAATAACTTCCACAGTGGAACCTTCGTGTAAGCACAGGCATGAGGAACTGCATTTCTTAATCAATAATTTCCATGTATCCATGAAAAAATTTATCCTGAGATCACAAGTCAGCTCAATTTCATTCTCAAAAATTAATCCCATCTTCTTTTTTTTTTTTTTTTTTTTTTTTTTTCTTTTCTCAACTTTTGAAGGCCAAAACCCCCTATCTTCCTATCATTTTTTTAAGTATTCTCTTTCCTTCACTCTTCCTTCACATAACAGATATTAAACAAGGAAGTAAAAAGATTTATAAATAGCAGCACAGGAAATACTCAGAGTGAAAAACAAACCTCACTTGCCTACTCTTGAAAAAATACATCTTAGAACTACATGACATAAAACAGGACATGGAGGTAGGTTTCAAGGTAGGGTGTACAACCAGTATATAAACTAGAGCAAATACATTAATATATGTTTTTATCTACCAGAAAGATGAATGCAGAACATTTTACACTGCAGAGTGGTTTATAATGAGAAAATGCAGTAATAGATGGCCACTTGTACAGCACAAGTTTCATGGTTTAACCCTGTATTACTATATTCATGCATTCGTCACTTGGCAGAAGAGCTCTACTGGATCACCCACTCTGAATACACACACATAAACCTCACCAGGATTTACAGATATTAACGCTAGATCCACGTAGGTTACGCTGCAATCTGATCTAACACCCTATCATAGGATCAAAGGGCTTTCTGCTAGCTACCTCTGATATCAGATTCCAAAGCAAAAGAGTAACCCCAGTGTGATTTCTAATGACATACACACATCCAAAAGAGAAGAAAAAACTCTGCATGTTTATTTTATTTTATTTTTAAATTTTTGATTGCTGGCATGGTTATTCACAGGTATAGAGGCAAAAAACAGAAGAGCGTGTCGTTAGATATGCGAAAGGAAAGGCTTATTGAATCGGTTTCAAAGGCACTATACTGTATGGATATGGCTCAGTCACATTAAACATTAAACAGCATTTCACACCAAAATAATCTGTACAACGGCGTAAGATAGACCCAAGGAATTTAACCACAAGTATTTTCAAAGCCCATAAAATGACACTGTAAACAAATAAATAAGGAATCAATAAAGAACAGAAATATTCAGTTTTAATGGCCTCAACTCTTTGGCTTAACCCTCAAGGGAAAGTTACAAAGCCTCTCCAAAAACCAACTCTAGAAAAATGATCAATCAACCACAAAATAAATAAATATTTATAATAGACAACACTTTTTTCCCACTTTCTCATCTTCACTAATTTGTAACATGATCCACCCATGATACATGAACTACCATCTGTATATGAAAAAATAATTGCATCTCCTTGCTAATCTCTTTTTCAGCTTCATAAGCACTAACTCTTTTCTCTCAGGTAGTCTGAGTAACACATATTTTAAGTCAAAGCAATCTTAGAAACCAGTCTTCAAAGTGAAATCTACTCTAAGGAATGATCTGCTTACCCAAAAAACTTGTCTGTTTCATCAAAATATACCAGATAGCAACTGAAGAAAATATACTTTACCCCATACTTAAACTCCCTTTAGCAGGAGGTTGGACTAGATGACTGCCAAAGGTCCCTTCTGATCTATGTTCCTAATCTCTTCCGATAAACACAGATACACACAAAGAAACTGCAGAACACTGAGACAGGAAAGAGAAAGACTGAGAATTGGTGGGGCAGGCAGAGACAGACACAGGCAGCCAGAGAGACACATTACAGATTTCTAGTCTGTGATGATGGATTTTAATAGGTCTTAAAATACTGCTGTGCTCTCCAGTCTTCTAGGATGGCAATTAAAAATACTGAAAACCATTCCCAAAAGTCAATTAATGACTGCATCTTGCCACATCGTGTAGCTTTCTTCTCCTTTGCTTTCTTCAAAAAATATCTAGCTGTTGACCTAGAGACAACCACATTCTATCAATGTAATATAAATCATGCTAATTTGGTGTCTGTCATTTGAGCTCTTTACTTATATTTTAAAAACTTCACAATACTTTAGGATCTTGTGATGTCTAATATTTTTCAATAAACATTATCTACTCATCTATATGGGTTTATCTCTTTTCAACAACAAAAAAGAAGCTATTAATCTGTTTTAAATACTTAATTGCAGCATCATTATGTAATTAATGAGGCAAAAAACTATCCTAAGGATAGCATGCCTGCTACCACACTGAAAGCACTGATAACAATAATGGAGATGCTCCCAACATAATACAATATGAAGAGGCAGAATGCTGACTACTCACTGCTTATCAAAGAAATTTGTTGTTCAGAGCAATGCAAAGCCAAATACGAGTGTACAGTAAGAAGGCAATTCTCTGCTGTTGCAGCAACCTGAAGTGAAAACCTGTTCAAAACAAAACACAAAGTAACAGTTTTCTACTTAGCCATGCCAATCAAAATATGTCAACACAAGAAGACAGGAAATATTCAGACCCACTTCTTTTCTTCTCTATCCTGGTTCAGTAACTAAGCATGTGGATGAGGTTGCACATGCTGAAACAGGAAGGGTAGCATATCTCCACATCAGATTTTATTTACTATGGAGCATGAGTATATCACTAATCCGAAACTTCAAGAGTTAAAAAAGAATTTGTGAAATAAATGAACTCTGTCTCTGAAAAGCAGTTAACTACAGCCGATAGCTATAAGCCTACTAAAAAGAGAATGCTAAGGTAAAGTTTAGGCACATTTCCCAAAGAAGGTGACAATGTTTTCTTTCATGAAACACTGAGACCTGGGACAAGAAAAGAACTGGAAGGATTTAGTAACTGGCTACCTTTTAATGATCATATCTCAGTTTCATTACATTTTTTTAGAGGCTAAGATCAATCATATTATGTCTTCCTGAACTTCCAACCATGAACAAAATCAGAAATAGCATGAGATTCCCCAGCTGCCCATTTTTGTCAACAATGATCACAGCAATGCATCTACCCACCACATGAAAGGTGGGTGACCTATGGGCCTAGGAGAGGCCCATGAAGGAGCAGGCTGTCTCCCTGCAGAAGTGCTGGGCAAGCTGCAGACTCTGGGAAGCCCATGTGGAAAAGGCTCAGGAAGAGTGACAATGTGGCAGGGACCCACATGGGGCAGGGGCAGAGAGCGACCAGGGAGGACAGCACAGACAAACCGTTATGGACTGACCATAGCCCCCACTCCCCCTCCCACACATCCATCTCCATTCCCTGTGCCTCTCAAGATGGATGAGGAAGAACATGAATGGGAGGAAGGTACTTTTGGTTTGCTTTTATTTATTACTGCTCTTTTCCCTTCTTCCCTTCCCCATGATATTTTCTCCCCCTGTTCTTTTGAGGGAGTGAAAGTAGGGCATGGTAGTATTTTAATTGTGCGTTGGTGTTAAATCACACTGAAAGGGTTTTTTGAATTTAGATTTTTCAATTTGAAGGAAATAATAGTCATAACTAAACATTTCTTCCATTTCCTTTATACTTGGTCAAGACTTCTGAATTTTGTTATCTTTTTTGTATCAGCCTTGTGAAATGAAAAGTCATTTACTCTGCTTTGGAGGGAAAAAAAAAAAAAATAGAGATTTAAAGCAGTAATTGAAATTAACTGCAAATTCTCATGATTCTCATGTAAGACAGTCATTAAATAAACATTAATGCATTTTCTTATTATCCATTTAATGTAATCTATGCACACAGTAAATTACTTGCCTACAGGAGAAATATATTTTTTATCTGTTTCCTTTTATAGCTATAGAGAATTATTTTTCCCGTAAAACATAATTGCTGTGTCAAAGGCAAACAATGTCAATGTGCTGCCAAATTCAACAGTATCTATCCCTTAAGCCAGGGCCAATCTGATTTACAGGAAAAAAATTGCTATTATTTACATGGATTTAATATGAACTATGCAAATCAACTGAAATTTTAAGCCTGGATTTAGAAAAGCAAAACAGTGTAAAATATAAAGTAGCATCCTTATCCATGTAGTTAAAGACAGGATATATTTTACCTAAATAGGTAAACATTTCAACTCCATCCTGTAACAACATAAAATGATGTAGTTTAACATTTCTTCAAATAATTAAAAATATAATTTTATTGCTTTGAAAATGGAAATACAAAGGGAGAATATCTGAAAAATTAATGTCTTCAGCAACTGATGCTGTAAAATATCATGGCCTATCAAAGGACCCAGGAACCTAATCAAGACCAGTTTCACCTTATATGGGTCATGTCTTACTTCCATTGTTCCATTTTTCAAAGCTTGAGAAGGCCTCAAAATCGTATCTTCTTAAAAGACTTTATTTAACAGAGTAGTTCAGATTCCTTAGTCACGCATTTTGAAACTAACCGCTCAAAGGCCTACACAGTTAGCTGAGTCAGGTTTGAGGTTCACAGAATCACACAATCACCAAGATTGGGAAAGACCCACAGGATCACCCAGTCCAACCATCCACCGATCACCAATAGCTCTCTTTCTAAAACATGTCCCTCAACACAATGTGCAAACGTTCCTTGAACACCTCCAGCGCCGGTGACTCCACCACCTCCCTGGGCAGCCCGTTCCAGTGCCTGACCACTGCCCCAGGGAAGTAGTATTTCCAACACATTGTGTGTGTGAAATTACACGTAATTTTCAGACACATTCCATACATCTCTCATGAACAGCAAGGAGGGAGAAGAAAGAAGGTTAAAAAAAAACAGATTGCAAGAGCAGATTAGAGTGGAATTTCAATGCACAGAACATATTAACAGTTTTAAAGAATCAGAAGTATATGTTTCAGGTTAGAGACTCAGGTGCCTACTTAGACTTTTCCAATAGAAGTTAAGAATTATTTCTGGTTGAGATAAAAACAATTCCTTCCAAAAGCCAACAGGAATAATTTTACTGCACTAACAGCACACATTGTTTTTCATAGTGTGTTATTTCATTCATTTCTGTTCGTATCAGCTGTTCCTAAAGCCCATACCAACATTCAGCTCACTGACAGGAAATCAAATATCTGTCAGCAAACCAGCATTGTTAGTATTGTCTTAAAAAAAAAAAAAAAAAACAAAAAACATTTTAAAAGAATACAGCATTTTAAAGATAATTGGCCATTCTTGAAAGTAATTTTTTTATCTTAATTTTAAAAGACATGGATTCCTTTTAATGTTACTATGATGACTTTTATTTTGCACCTCTTTTTGAAAAACTCATAAAGTTTGCATTTAAATTGAGGATGGTCTCCTTTATTTCATTTTAATGACAAATATGGAAAAGATCTTATTACACAGAGCAGAAAGGATTATTTGTCTATAATAAGATGTAAGAAGCTGCTAGTGCACTCCATAGAAAGTTATTTTAATTAAATGTTGTCTCCTCAGCAGCTATATTTCAGATCTCATCATATGCCCAGATTATCCTTTCCTCATAATTACTTCAAGCTTTAGCACACAGTTATGAATCACATCCTATACAATGATTAAATCTTACAACTAAATAAAAAGAATAAGGGTTTCTTGCCTGATGATCTGCACACAGAAATCTGAAGAACTATTCCAATATGATCAGCTACAACTCAAGTATGCGCAGCCCTTACTTCAAAACAAAATAAAATTTATTATTATGCTTTAAAAAAGCATGTTCTATGCTGGAGTGTGAGATATTTCTCCCTTTATTGAAAACAGAAACTGCAGGAACAGCTTTTCCATCACACTCTCCTTCATACACACACACTTATTCATCCCACAAAGGAAAGAGATGAACTAAATAGACAAATACTGAACACACAATACTGTATTTGATCTCCATTTACCAGAGGAAGAGGAGACCTTCTGAATAGTTTCTCGCCATTAAAGTTGCTTAAAAGACAGATCACTACTTTTAAAAATCAACCTAATATGTATGAATTTCATGCCTCTATCTGTCCTCATCACTAAATAGATTCCAACTGTGGAAAAATACAGTTGTCGTTAACAGAACTAAAGTAAAAAAGGAAGAGTTCTGTACGTTCATCTGAGTTAGAACCACAAGTGTTTTAAAGAGAATTAGACCACATAAATTCTTAAGTATTTTTTAAATATAGAACTTATTCCCGCATAACTCTGGAAAATTAAAAAAAAAAAAAAAAAAAAAGTAAAACATAAAGCATGTTTCACTTGTCCTTTGCTCTGATAGGGCCTACTCTAACCAAGCACAGAAGACTGATTTATGTAGCACTGAGGGAGATGACATCAACCAGTTTCCCATATTTTGTCAGGCAGAACTAGTGATCAGAAAACAACTCAGCTAGAATATAAAGAAAGAGAAATGAAAAAAGAAAGACACATGGAGAGCAGAAGACTAAGGAAGAACAGAGATGGAAGGATAACTAATTACAGCTCATTTGCTACTTTCCAGCAAAATTTAATTCCGATTTGTAATGCAGTTGCCCTTGTCTCACCATCTTTACTTGGTGAGTACCTCTAAACAGTTCTACTTTATTAGTCTTTAAAACAACTAAAATCACTTAAAGGCCTGCTAAGTTATTCAGACCTGTCTCTTCTTGAATTCTTAGATACAATGGGAATGTCTGAAGCTTTTGATAGGACTGAAAATTGAGCAATTCTTCTAATACATAAAGATTTGCAAATACATGATAAATGTCAACATCTTCTCCTAATATAACTAGGATAAAACCAGAAAAAAGACTCTACACTGTCATAAACATTTCATTGCTTAAAATAATAATAATAATTTTCAGACATTCTAGTTTGCCTCAAGCCAAAATCTTATACCACACTGAAATCCAGCATAGAATGCCTGCAACATTTTAATAAGGTATTTTACAAGAAGTAGACTAGTTTGAAATAGAAATCATCAGGATTTGTTGAATCAAAAACATGTGCCTCCAAAGGAATCTTAGAAAACAGAAGAATTACCAGTAAAGGTATAAATAAAACAAGACCTTAACATGGCAACTTAGATAAATTTTAGTTTAGGGACCAAAGTTGAATTTGTGTTTAGGAATTGAAAAACAATTGAGAAAAAAAAAATCCATTTTTAAGTTTCTTTTTTTTTTTTTTTTTTTTTTTCTCCAGAATTCTTGCATTCCTTTAGCCAGCCAACTTGTATTACAATTCCTATTTTATATCCTCTTCTAACAGTTTTGACCATACCCCAAGTGAATTTGAATTGCACATATTACCTGTTTTCATCTTTATCAATGAAGAATATATTCCCTAAAAATGACACTGGAGTAGATGATTTGAAGCTGATATGACAAATTAGTTCCATATTTGTGCCATCTGACGAAAGAACAATATCTTGTCCTTCTGGGAATCGTATAGAAAAAGGGGAAATCCTGTCACCATCTTCAAGTTCAAGCTCTGGAAGTTCAACCTGAATTCGTGTTTTCCTGTGTTAAAAATAAATAGCAATGGCAATTGTGTACAGAGGATGAGAGTAATGAATTTGATTCACAGATTCATACACCTATGAAACTGCTTTTTACAATTAAATAAAGAATAACTTCAGTTTGGACATACACATCAAGTACAATCAATTTCTCTTAGATTTGTTCTGCACACATGTACCTCAGCATTTTAGGATTAACCACAATAACTCAACATCCAAACAAAGAGCAATTTCTACTCATTGCGAAAAGACTTAAATGTTACTTCCTTTTTCAGAGGTTTCCTAAACCTAAATCTTTCACATTTATATATTAGATTACATTATCACATTAATACGCATGCAAGTTTCACATTTATATATTAGGTTACATTATCACACTAATATGCATGCAAGTTTTTGGTGTTTTTTTGTGGTTTTTTTGTGTTCTGTTTTTTGTTTTGTTTTGTTTTGTTTTTTTTACGACAGCAATATAAAGTGGAAATTTGTAAGATATATCAAGATCCTTTCCCTGGTTATGTAATTTTAGGTTCTAGTTCTGAAATGACAATGCAAGTCAGTCCAGACCAATCTGGAATTCTTTCAGATGCAATCATCAAGTAACTTCATTTTACTTCACAAAGAAAAATGAGTTCACTATTTCAAGAGAGAACAGAACACAAGAATCACTCGAATTTTGTAATAAACTTATTTTGATATTTTTACCTTAAATAATCTTGCGGAATAATTTTGACGGCCGTTTCAGTTTTCACATCCAGAGGAACAGGAATCAGCATAAGGAAGGGAGGATCAAAATGTATTTTTGATGACTTGACAGTACCAGACAATGTTACTTTGTAATGTGATGGATTATCATTTACACACACTGACATTTCAGATGTATATGTCCCAGGACAAGCTGTTAAAAAAGTTTTTTAAAAATATATTTTTTACTATAAATTCAACAACTAAAAGAGTTACAGTAAGAACTTTAAAAAACAGTCACCAGTTATATTTCTTAATTGAAACGTAGTTTAACAAACAGCAAGTGTTATATCAGAAGATGTATTTGTTAAGTAAATTTAGAATAATTGCTTTAGAAAACCACAAATCCAAGAACTTATCACAAATTTTTGAAATTCTTGATTATTCTCCATTAAATTTTTTCCTTGTGTTACATCTCATGTGATCCTGCTAACTGCTGCAAGACACCTTTCTATTAGATGGCAAAAGCATACTTTCTTTTATTGATAACGTAAAGCAAAGCACTGCCTTTACCAACTGTTAGACTATCAAACTGTTACTCCAAAGAAGAAAGAGCCATTTTCCAGATTTTCAGTTACTCCCACCTGCTGAAAAATTAGCAAAAGAAAACTATTTTCACCAACTGATGAATACCTCTTGTGTTTAGAAACAAATCCTTACAACGTTTTCTAAGACAACCCAAACAGTTGAAACTTTTCATTTTTTAGAGAAACAGATTTTCCTTCAACTCCCAAGTGTTAACAGATTAATGAGCATGGAAACATCCTCACTTAACATTTAAGAAGGAAAGTGATAGTAAAACAAGTAATTTCGTATGTAATGTGTCTGGACAAGCACGTGTTACTTTAAAAAATAAAATTGTAACCAGTACTTCTGTGATTAGTTCAACTAACTTTACAGATAATTATTTTCTTCAAATTATTTTCTGCTCCTCAAGTTTGTATCAGATGTTACTCACTTTGCACCCTCATAACCCACTTAAATATTTCCAGTTTAGTTATGGCATGAATTATCCAAAAGTCCAGCATATTACATATATACGCCTTCAAACTAAATGGATGCCAGTGAAAAATTTGTGTACACTGTTATACAGACTTGAAAACCAAGAAGGTAGAGTTAGTTAAAAGCTAAAGATAAGCCCTAAAAAAAAAAAAGTGCAGGAACTGTTAAAAGTCAGTCATATAAGCTCTTACTTCAGTAGGAAAAACTCTAGAAGATGGTGGTTGTAATGTTCACTATGCCTATTACATAATCAACCCATCTTCCAGAGGCAGTGAATCATGTTCATTTAATAATTATGAATTATTATTCTAAATATTATGGAACATTTTAAGAAATTGCTTCAAAGCATAATCAAGCTTCTTTTTAAGGCTTGTTCTTCCCCGTATAGTAAAACCTTACCCTGCATACCTGTGAAGTTGATTACAAGCTCTTCATTAATTGTTTCTATAGTATGGGTTTTGTTTTACCTAGTTTTCTACTAGAAGAGTAATTAATTTCAATGAAGATATCTTACAAGAGGGCTACAGATCATGGGAAAACATTTTGAAGATCAAATTAAGAGCAACTGACTTGTACAATTATTTATGATTTTTTGTAAATAAAAGAAATAGTAAAAACTATTAATACAAAAATACAAATGATTTTCACTGAATCATTCTAATATTCACGTTCTGAAATTTCTCTTCTGGTATATGTTGTCGATTGCCACCTTCCTACATGCTCCCAAGCTTTTCTAGAAATCTATCTTATGCTTTTAACTTGGTGTCTGCTTGCCTGAGCAAACTACTCAGAAAATAATACACCTAACTGATTTTACATCTTTTTGAGGAAGGAAATTTCTATTCTTATTTAAGTTCTGCCTATTTAAAAAGAAAAAATAAAAATCAAGGAATCGTATATGCTCTAAGTATTCTTGGAAAACTTAAGCATTTAAAGTTTACCCAAGTGTACGTTAGCAGTATACTGAAAACAAGTCAGGTATCCCAGCCTTTGATGCGTTCTACATGCAAAGTAGATCAAATGTTTTCTATTAGGTTATTTTCTCAGACCTTCAACAAGCCTTTTACTCACATTAACTCAAAGATCATCAAAAGAAGTGCTAGTCAACATTCACTATGAAAACTGATTTAAACAGCTCTATAAAAATGACAAAACTGTTCAAAATATCTGTAGAAGAACTAACAAGATTACTTACAAGAGCAGAAGAACACATCAATACTGATTTTTTGCCCCGGATCAAGAAATCCCGTCTGCTGACTAAATTTAAATACACCGCCTTCTACACTTTTGCCTGCATTGTCACAATTCAACTTCCACGTCAACTGCTGCTTTGAGATATTCTTCAGGTCAAGTTTCTGTAAGTATTTACAGAGAAAGAAGAGCATGATGAAAAATGGAAAAGCCGCAAGCACCACAATATTTCAATTATTTCGCAATCAGATCACATTGAAAGCAAGAAAGCACTAGAAATAAATTAAGAACCCAGTTTACTATGAGGTGAGGAAATGAGCATGCATATCAGCACAGACTAAAAGACTTCCAGTTGTTTGCCACTGCCCTCTATAACTGGGAAAACAAAAAGAATTATGTGAGATAAACAGATCAAAATATTGCTTAGTGAAATATAAATGAGTTTTTGACGGTACAAATGAAGAACAGCAAGAACAGATGATTCGTGACATAAAGACTTCCAGGTCTTCAAATATTTAAATTACAAAAAGTTCAAAAAAAGCTTCCAAAAACAATTTTTTTCCAATCCAGTAAGAAAACAGTGTGAACAACAACAAAATAATCCATTCCTTTATCACAGAACTGCTCTGTCTCACAGTGCCTATGCTTTCTTATACATCAGAAAGCCAGGAGAAGCCCAACTCTGAGCTCTAGAAATTTTGTAGTGATCAAAGAAAAACTTGAATTCAAAACCTGAACAAAGCAGCAACTAGAAAATATTTAAAATACATAAATTATTATGTTTAGACCATGAGTAAGTTTTAAGATCCAAAATACAACAATTTCCAATTCCTTTTTTGAGTAATTAAAAGCCACAGGCAGTAACACTTCTGTTTACATACCTGAGAATCCAGACTTTCATCAGGAATATTCGAACGCGTACCTCTTGAATGTCGTGTAAATATAAGTTCCGTTGAGGAGAACTCCAGTGGTGACTGAAGTACTGTTGAAAAAATTAAAAATGTTATACAGTATTGTTTTGACAAATAGATCTCCAAAATGCCTTCATAAAATAACTGTTTCTGAACATATTTAATAGAATTGTTTCTCACCCTTTTGTAAAGCTATGGTTTATTTTATTGTTCCCATATTATAAAAATCACTAAGGTAAGTTTCTGACTTAATGTGACCCTTCAGTCACATTCAAATGATTATAATTTTACACCTACCACATGTATAGCATCTCTCCTTTGTGTAAGGATGCTATACACAGTGTCATGTGATCTTCCTGTTGCAGATGAATTCAAGGACATTCAGACTATATCCACAAGCATACTTGAGAGATCAAAAGCAACAGTCATTAAAAGGAGACCTTAGCAGATCTTCGGGCGTTTACTTTAGTTATATTCATTTGTATTCTTAATAAAAATTGCAGAATATTACTTTCATATAATTCTATATTCACATGCAAATCCACTAATTTTACTTCCAGACTCTATATTATTTTAGTAGTTATAAAATATAGTTGTGACAGTATTCATTAGAAAAGACTTCAAGGACAACAGCATTCCTCTTAATACCATATAGCCAAAATAAAGAAAACATGGCACAGTGTGAAGTCCACAGTGAAGATTTAGAAAAAAAAACTAGGATGGATGTTCTAGGAGTATTCAGTTTACTGCCATATTTGGTTAATAAGCTGGGAACCTCTGCAAATTAATAGGCTTTTAGAGTAGGAACCTCATCATTTGAATAATGCTTTCACCAAATAACGTGCGACTGTGTCAGTCATAGAGTCCCCACTCTTGGTAGACATCGTTCTGTGCAAGGAAAACAGCGAGAATGAAGGACTAGCCAGGGCCAAAAGGGGAGATATGAGAAACTCCATGAAGAAACTACAACTCTGATCAATTTTTAAAAGACAGCACACATACTGTCTTCACATGGATAATACACACCCTTCCTTTTTGTCTGAATGAGGTAGGAGTTGTATTTATCTACTCGGATGCTGAGTTCTCTGTTTTGCTTTTTTGCATATTCAGTGTTTTCTTACACGTCAATAATCAGTCTCCAAGAAAAGTCCTTAAGAGATTAGCAACATCCCAGTCAAAGAAGCACTCTAAAAACCTTGCTTTTACATTTTTATTTTTTACTTCTTTAAAAAGGAAGGGGTGGAAGGTTTACAATTGATTGAAAACATTTATTACACTCAAGTTAAAGGACTGAGTTGAATTCTCTGAGATCATGATGATTCTTTTCTCTGGGCGAACAATTCTGAGTACAAACATTGGATATAAGGTACAGATTGAAGTACCAACTGCACAGTTGTGGGCAGTCTGAATTGATGAGTAATCAAAAAATCTGTCAGAGGAAAAAAAAAATATATAGGAAAGAAAAATAAATGTGCCACAACACAAAGTAGAAAGAATTAGGTATATTGCCAAATGACAAGTTCGAACTTGCAATATCTTCTTATCCATGTGCAATTTGTAAAGTGATCTGAAAGGATTAATCAAGAACAGACAAATTTTGAATTTTCAGAATGTAGTAATTATCAATTTGCTTTCAGTGGTACAAATAATCTGACTAGTTGCCTATAGCTGTATAATTATATGAAATAATGAGTAAACAACATTTATCTAGACTATCTCTTCACAGTTCCCCATAACATCCCATAAGAATGTAATTCCAATACTCAAATTTAAATAGAAATTATAGCCAATTATAAAGTACTGAAAGCATCACAGATTCATTTTAATATGATTGCTTCTTGTTAGCTACCAATGTAGCTAGTTTGAAGAAAAACCTTTTATTCAATTCTACACCTGCTCTATTTGGCAGAATATTAAGCTTACTATAAAGATTTATAAATTCAATAAAAATGGAAAACTGAAGGGTTTTTTCTTCTGAATCCATAAACCACTTCTACAGTAGCAGTTATTTACTTAGATTCACAATTTTTTAGAGAAACAATCTGTACTAACCTCATACTAATATGCATATTTATTCTGTTTGTTCTTAAACTAAATATACGTGGAAACATTTAACATGAATTTACCTCCCTCACATCTTAAATGATTCCAAAGAAATGTGAGAGACCTTCTTGAGATCACTTTAAGACTTAAATTTTGCATAAGGAAGACTTCCTCTGAAATCTTCGATTAAAGACAAAAATAAATAGGAGCTGCTTGTAGCCCACATTACACGTTTTTTTCAGCCAGGTACCCTTCAGTGCTCCTGAGATTTTGTAAACATATGAATAACATTTCAGTAAGATATTCAACACTTAAGTCTCATTCTCAAATAGAGAGTAAATACATATTAAAAACTAAGTTGAGAAAACCTGATGAATTCAAGTAACCACCATATGGAGGTTTATATATTTGATTGAATCAGACAGGAGAGTAACCAAAAACAGAAACTGTTTTAACAAAAGCAGAGAAGAATTGTTTAAGATACTTATATCTTATTGCAGACAAAGTGCCTATAAATTTGGATATTCACAAATTCTGAAAGGCCAGAAGAGTACAGTTCCTCGTATGAAAGCAAACAGAAGCAAAAAGACTAAGTCATTATCTCAGATGGGACCAGAGGTATAGAGGCATTTTAAAAGGATTTTAAATATAGCTAGAGCTCATGGCTCTCACAGGCGGAGACTGGAAAAGGATCATGAATGATACACCAGTTTTCTACACAGATGAACTGCTGTCAATGCTGAGATTTATACATTAAGGAGCAGAGATATTAACTGGAGTAAGAACAAAACTGAATTTTGATTTTTTTTTTTTTAGTTTTTTGTTTTTATTTAAATCAAAGAATTGGAAAACCGATATAGGAAAACACCCATAGAAAAAAAAAAACATATTTCATAGCATATGTGATAGGATTTACATATGCACAGAAAGAAGTTTATATATATATTTAAAAATACAAATTTACATTTAAAAAATTTTCACATTTCCAAGAAATTTACAAACTATTCAGTAATTTAATTTTCAGCCTTCCATTCTCATTTCCTGTGTGTTTTTGGTTTTTTGTTTTTTTAAGGAGGAGGAGGGTGCAGTTAAATGGTAATTCTCTGTAATTGGAACACAAGCAAAAATATCACCAGAAATGTAAGCAGCTATCACTTTCTTTAGGTTCCTAGTTTACCTACCAACTGCTTTAACTCTACAGATTGGAATAGCCACAGTCGCTCTCCGTGGCTGTGGAGAAATGACATGCTTTACAGATCCAACAGAAGTTGCAGATGCACTGTGTTGCTGTAGCAATGGAAGGTCATACCAACGAGTGTTAACTGGAAGAATGAAGTTATACGCCGCCACCTAAAGGACATAAATATCATCATGGTCACTTTCCCAAAGCAATTGGTGTTTCTTGAACCATCTGAGCGTTATCACTGTTCCTTATTAATATTTCATAATTATCAAAATTAACATTAAAGTTGATCACAGGAATAGGATTTTCATTACTATTCGTTATCAGTCATTTAACTATGCAGTGAAAAGACATATTCACCCTACCAAGGAAAAAAATTGTATGCTCAAAAGAATCAGGGTTATCAGCACAGCTACAGACAAGGCTTCTGGTAAGTCACCATGCTGTGCTCCTTCGCAATATGAGCAAAGATAAAGATTGGAACTGTGACATAACCATGAGCAAGGAGGGGGAAACAAAACTATGTAAATTGAGAAAGTGATTTTCAAACGTTGAAGAGAAAGACTCAGCATAAGCAACATGGACTCAAACATTCAAGTGAAGTGTGAGTAAAACAGACACTACTAAAACCACCATCATTGAACCTCGCTGATTTTGAAGATTCCAAATTCCATTGGTTTTGATCCCAGTTTTATCACAGCAGTAACATCCCCCTCATAAGTGAGGTTTATAGAATTTGAAGATAGTAGTTCATTTCACTGAAAGTTCCCTCCTTCCTCCCTTCTCCCCACATCCACGCACAGCTTGTGCACTTGAGAGGCCTAATTTATTTCATAGTGCACTTTTCAAGAAAGCATTTCTTGTCTTTTGTGCAGTCTTTCCAAGGACAAACTTAACAGTATGCTCTCCAGACAAAGAGAAAAAAAAAAAAAAAAAAAAAAAAAAAAAAAAGAGGATAACCATAAAAAAGGCAACACAAGAAAAACCAAACCTTCTACCATAAAGCCACTACTGGGATACTTCAAATTCTACAGCTGTTTTCACCTTGAAGGACACTGCAATCTTCAAAAAGGATTCTGGCCTACAAAGTCTGTGTGCTGCTTAAAATATGCAGCAAAGCCAGGTATATAAAGGAGATATAAATCATTTAAAAGCTTCCAAATACCACAGGGAATAGTGCATTGTGCTTTAAAAGTGTGCTATATACACTTTTGTATATATTGTAGTGAGTACAACATATAAATGACAGGAAAAGAAAAAAAAAAAAGGCGCTACCACAAAAAATGAGGCAAATATTCACCTGCAATTGATTCAACACAGAACCTAGATAATGAGAATCAAGACGACAGCATTTATAATGTTTGGAGTTCCAGCAGCATTTGTAAGACAGATTTACAAGCTCCTGGTGAGCAACATGTGCTGAATGTTATGGAACGTATATTTCGTAAGATGACTATGTGCAGCAAGGGGAAATTCTTTCTAGCAAGATCACAGCACTCATATTATCACTGATGATTCAGATCTGAAAGATTTTATGATTAGATTTTATAACACAGAATTGCACTTTGCAAAATTAAGACGATAAATGACATGAAATTTTTTTAGTAACTAATACTGAATTGTATTGTTAGCAAAGACTGACTTAAAAGCCTGATAGAATTTAAACGTGCTTCTATATTTAATATCATAAAAACCACCACAAAAAATATTCTACATTACATCAGTATAAAATGCAAATAATGGAAAAAAAGCTAAAAATGATATTTTCCTCACAGAGGTAGAAACTCCTTTCACTTCAAAGCATGTTTGAAATATGTCATCCTTCACAACAGTGTCTCTTTGCAGCTTTAGACAAACAACTATCTTTTCTCACAGTTGAAAATAAAAAGCATAAAAAGCACATCAAGACTTTGAAATCCATCAAAAATAATTTAAATTATTTTCTGAAAATATATGTGAGGTTTGACAAATTAAAGGTGAATACCTGGTGCATTAGTAACATAGCTGTAAATATACATGTTTAAGAAAGAAACAACTTCAAAGTGAATCAATAAGAGGGAAATTTTCCAGTACTCTCTACTCAAGCTAGAGAGTTTAACAGTTACAGACCAGAACCCATCAGAAGCTTCCATCACGCTCATCAAGCTGTACAATTTTTTATATTGGTCACACGTACTTAGCATTCATTTTCTAAAGTGTAAAATGCAATCTGCTGCATATATCAATGGCTCCCAAGCAGTACGGCTCACCATAAAGAGAAGATGACCGCATATCTCAGCACACATCTCAGGTTTAAAGATTATAGCCAGGCCTGGCAGCTTCCCATAGCCAGCATGGACATCCTATGTGGGCAATTCTAATACTCCAAGTACTACTGCCAAAGCAATGCAGTATAAACAATTTATCTAGAAAATCCTTTCCATTCTTATCATGTATGACAGGCATACAAATATAATTATACAATTTTTCAAGCCCCTGCTTGCTAAGATTACACTGCTTAACATATGTTATGACATAATTGATTATGCAAAAGAGCAGTGCCTATAGCACTACTGTTCTGTGCATTCAGGTTGGCCAGTAAGAGGTGGAATCTCTCTATCCTTCCAAAGCAGCTTTTCAAAATTTGTTTTTCATTCCCAGCATCAGGCCAATGTGTTTTCCTGCTATTGTGAAGCAAGAGTTTTACCTGCTTTGTACTGGCAAACAAAAGCAACAGTTTGATTCACTACACGTAGATCCTCACGTTCACTGAAAGCCTACATTTGCCCTGAAGTTCAGTAGTGTAAAGACAGAGCCAAGACTACTCACAGAAGTGGATTTTCATAATATCAAGTCACATAACTTGTACCTGATTCATACACACCTTTCATTCATTAACTACCCATTAACTAATATGCAGTCAAAATAAAAAATGACTCATATTTATGTGCAGAAATTGTATTTTAATCATATACATGTATAAACATCACTGAAACAGAATTGAAAGTTAATTTTTTTCTTAATGCTTTGCAACCACAATCATTACTTTTCACAGCAGATTTATTTTTCACTTTCAATCTCTAATACTTCAAAATGAACAATTATCTATTATTTTGCATAATGCACAAAATTAATGACATTTCTTTAAAAAAAAAAAAATCAAACAAAACCTCTGAAATTATTACTAGACTTGCAGTCCATGAATTCTCCATAGTTACTTGTTCAGATATTTTTCTGAAGCCTACATTTAATTTTGTAAACCAGAGGACACGAGGAGGAAAGGATAAGAAGCAAGCAGCCTAGTACGAGTTGTTTCACAAACACTCGGGGTTATTAATATAATATGAAATATTTTTCCTGTCCTGATTTAATGTAATTATGCACGTTAATTGGAAAAGAGACCTGATCTGCAAAGTGGGAACCTCAGCAATTCAAATACTTCAAAAGAAGCTTTAAAAAGGTCATGCGCAACAAAGCAGTTTTTTGTTATGTGGTCACCTCCAACAGATACGCTCGCGTAGGAAGCCACGACACAAGATAACAATTCTTTAAATAAAACTTTTTGGCAATATTTCATTTAGTAGTCATTTACAAGAAAAACACATCTCTTTCTTGCTAAATAAATGTCGTAGAATTTTAAGAAAACTTTTTTGATCAAGAAAGCTCAGCTACCCAAATTCATTTGAGATTTTCAAAATGCCACGGTTAGGTCATAGAGTAGATGGCAGCTCTAAGCCAAACAGTGGAAAGTGAACACAGCTGAGTGCCTTCCGGCCTCAGGCCTAAACACAAAGTACACTGAGATAAACAAAAGAGGAAAGTGTTACCCCAAAACCCATGAGAATATAAAGGCACCTACAACGAATGCATTCGAAAAAAAATTAAGCAGAATTATCAGACTGAGGGGGGAACAAGGTTGAGCAAAAATTTTGCTGTCAAATCCAGGAATCAAACACTTTATTTAGCACAAAGAATACATCATATCTCCCTAAAATCACAAGACTTGCTCTTACAGTACAACTTCACACAGTCAATCAGTAAACTATCACTTAAAATTAACTTAAAACATCTGTGAAAGAAAATATCATTGTATTTATCACATAATTAGCACACTGTACAAACATCTTGAAGCATTCGAAATCACCAATTTTTTTTGTGTGTAGGAATCATTTTAAAATTTATTTATAGCACTAGCAAGGTAGATTTCAGCAGTGATTCCAGAATTGTGACTATATTTAAAAAAATTACTCTAAAATTTAAGCCAAACAATATAATAAAATGATACTGAAGAACCAAGTGCTTATGCACTGTAGCTGAATACAAAATCTATACACAAGTTTTAAGACTTAACGTTGGCCTTTTGTTAAAACATACACATAGCTTATAAGCAGCACAACAAATAATGCAACAAGTGTTCAAATCCACCATTTAAAACATTAAAATTAAACCACAGAGTACAGTACAGGGATGATGCATTAAAAATACTCTGAGTATTTTGCAGTTTCACATCTGGTTTTCCATGGTATTTCTTATCTGAGAATTCCGTTCACTAAAAATAAACAATTCCATTATTATCAATGTCAAATAATAAATAAATCAAATACCACCTGCCACTTCCTTGTACAAAGCCTAGGCAATAAGCTCTGACAGTTGAGACTTTGTCCATTTGTCTCCATCAAAGCTCTCATGAGCCTCATTATTGTACAGCTGTGTAATCTGCCTTTTTTCCAAGATGCTGGAATTTGCTTTTTTCCAGCAGATTTTTTTTTTTTTTTTTTTTTTAAAGCAGCACACCCAACCCTTTTTTTTTCCTTTTTGCCTTACTAGAACTTGCATGATACTGCTGCTACCAGGTGTATTATCCAGCCTCATAAAGCACAATGACAACACAGGAACAAAAATCATCACTGGGCCAATATTCACTGTGCTCACACACTGCCTACTTGTCTTGTACAGAAGAGAGAAACAAAGGGCACCTTAGTGTTACCTAGATAGGTAGCAAAATCTAGTTTGCAGAATATGGGTCAAAGACAGAAAAACCTTACTTCTTGAATAAGGTTCAGGAGAACTCCAACAAGTATTCAGCCATACGTTCATATTGCCTATTTATATATTGCTATTCTTAAAACTAGCATGAAATTTTATTTCAGCATCTGAAATGAAAGCCCTGTATAACAAATCAGACATG